GTTACTGACACCTGCACGCAGCGGGATGGAAAGGAAAGGACAGAAGTGAGGTTACTGACACCTGCACGCAGCGGGATGGAAAGGAAAGGACAGAAGTGAGGTTACTGACACCTGCACGCAGCGGGATGGAAAGGAAAGGACAGAAGTGAGGTTACTGACACCTGCACGCCGCGGGATGGAAAGGAAAGGACAGAAGTGAGGTTACTGACACCTGCACGCAGCGGGATGGAAAGGAAAGGACAGAAGTGAGGTTACTGACACCTGCACGCAGCGGGATGGAAAGGAAAGGACAGAAGTGCGGTTACTGACACCTGCACGCAGCGGGATGGAAAGGAAAGGACAGAAGTGAGGTTACTGACACCTGCACGGAGCGGGATGGAAAGGAAAGGACAGAAGTGCGGTTACTGACACCTGCACGCAGCGGGATGGAAAGGAAAGGACAGAAGTGAGGTTACTGACACCTGCACGCAGCGGGATGGAAAGGAAAGGACAGAAGTGCGGTTACTGACACCTGCACGCAGCGGGATGGAAAGGACAGGACAGAAGTGAGGTTACTGACACCTGCACGCAGCGGGATGGAAAGGAAAGGACAGAAGTGAGGTTACTGACACCTGCACGCAGCGGGATGGAAAGGAAAGGACAGAAGTGCGGTTACTGACACCTGCACGCAGCGGGATGGAAAGGAAAGGACAGAAGTGAGGTTACTGACACCTGCACGCAGCGGGATGGAAAGGAAAGGACAGAAGTGAGGTTACTGACACCTGCACGCAGCGGGATGGAAAGGAAAGGACAGAAGTGCGGTTACTGACACCTGCACGCAGCGGGATGGAAAGGAAAGGACAGAAGTGAGGTTACTGACACCTGCACGCCGCGGGATGGAAAGGAAAGGACAGAAGTGAGGTTACTGACACCTGCACGCAGCGAGATGGAAAGGAAAGGACAGAAGTGAGGTTACTGACACCTGCACGCAGCGGGATGGAAAGGAAAGGACAGAAGTGCGGTTACTGACACCTGCACGCAGCGGGATGGAAAGGAAAGGACAGAAGTGAGGTTACTGACACCTGCACGCAGCGGGATGGAAAGGAAAGGACAGAAGTGCGGTTACTGACACCTGCACGCAGCGGGATGGAAAGGAAAGGACAGAAGTGCGGTTACTGACACCTGCACGCAGCGGGATGGAAAGGAAAGGACAGAAGTGAGGTTACTGACACCTGCACGCAGCGGGATGGAAAGGAAAGGACAGAAGTGCGGTTACTGACACCTGCACGCAGCGGGATGGAAAGGAAAGGACAGAAGTGAGGTTACTGACACCTGCACGCAGCGGGATGGAAAGGAAAGGACAGAAGTGCGGTTACTGACACCTGCACGCAGCGGGATGGAAAGGAAAGGACAGAAGTGAGGTTACTGACACCTGCACGCAGCGGGATGGAAAGGAAAGGACAGAAGTGCGGTTACTGACACCTGCACGCAGCGGGATGGAAAGGAAAGGACAGAAGTGAGGTTACTGACACCTGCACGCAGCGGGATGGAAAGGAAAGGACAGAAGTGAGGTTACTGACACCTGCACGCAGCGGGATGGAAAGGAAAGGACAGAAGTGAGGTTACTGACACCTGCACGCAGCGGGATGGAAAGGAAAGGACAGAAGTGCGGTTACTGACACCTGCACGCAGCGGGATGGAAAGGACAGGACAGAAGTGAGGTTACTGACACCTGCACGCAGCGGGATGGAAAGGAAAGGACAGAAGTGAGGTTACTGACACCTGCACGCAGCGGGATGGAAAGGAAAGGACAGAAGTGAGGTTACTGACACCTGCACGCAGCGGGATGGAAAGGAAAGGACAGAAGTGAGGTTACTGACACCTGCACGCCGCGGGATGGAAAGGAAAGGACAGAAGTGAGGTTACTGACACCTGCACGCAGCGAGATGGAAAGGAAAGGACAGAAGTGCGGTTACTGACACCTGCACGCAGCGGGATGGAAAGGAAAGGACAGAAGTGAGGTTACTGACACCTGCACGCAGCGGGATGGAAAGGAAAGGACAGAAGTGCGGTTACTGACACCTGCACGCAGCGGGATGGAAAGGAAAGGACAGAAGTGAGGTTACTGACACCTGCACGCAGCGGGATGGAAAGGAAAGGACAGAAGTGCGGTTACTGACACCTGCACGCAGCGGGATGGAAAGGAAAGGACAGAAGTGAGGTTACTGACACCTGCACGCAGCGGGATGGAAAGGAAAGGACAGAAGTGAGGTTACTGACACCTGCACGCAGCGGGATGGAAAGGAAAGGACAGAAGTGAGGTTACTGACACCTGCACGCAGCGGGATGGAAAGGAAAGGACAGAAGTGCGGTTACTGACACCTGCACGCAGCGGGATGGAAAGGACAGGACAGAAGTGAGGTTACTGACACCTGCACGCAGCGGGATGGAAAGGAAAGGACAGAAGTGAGGTTACTGACACCTGCACGCAGCGGGATGGAAAGGAAAGGACAGAAGTGAGGTTACTGACACCTGCACGCAGCGGGATGGAAAGGAAAGGACAGAAGTGAGGTTACTGACACCTGCACGCCGCGGGATGGAAAGGAAAGGACAGAAGTGAGGTTACTGACACCTGCACGCAGCGAGATGGAAAGGAAAGGACAGAAGTGAGGTTACTGACACCTGCACGCAGCGGGATGGAAAGGAAAGGACAGAAGTGCGGTTACTGACACCTGCACGCAGCGGGATGGAAAGGAAAGGACAGAAGTGAGGTTACTGACACCTGCACGCAGCGGGATGGAAAGGACAGGACAGAAGTGCGGTTACTGACACCTGCACGCAGCGGGATGGAAAGGAAAGGACAGAAGTGCGGTTACTGACACCTGCACGCAGCGGGATGGAAAGGAAAGGACAGAAGTGAGGTTACTGACACCTGCACGCAGCGGGATGGAAAGGAAAGGACAGAAGTGCGGTTACTGACACCTGCACGCAGCGGGATGGAAAGGAAAGGACAGAAGTGAGGTTACTGACACCTGCACGCAGCGGGATGGAAAGGAAAGGACAGAAGTGCGGTTACTGACACCTGCACGCAGCGGGATGGAAAGGACAGGACAGAAGTGAGGTTACTGACACCTGCACGCAGCGGGATGGAAAGGAAAGGACAGAAGTGAGGTTACTGACACCTGCACGCAGCGGGATGGAAAGGAAAGGACAGAAGTGCGGTTACTGACACCTGCACGCAGCGGGATGGAAAGGAAAGGACAGAAGTGAGGTTACTGACACCTGCACGCAGCGGGATGGAAAGGAAAGGACAGAAGTGAGGTTACTGACACCTGCACGCAGCGGGATGGAAAGGAAAGGACAGAAGTGCGATTACTGACACCTGCACGCAGCGGGATGGAAAGGAAAGGACAGAAGTGAGGTTACTGACACCTGCACGCAGCGGGATGGAAAGGAAAGGACAGAAGTGCGGTTACTGACACCTGCACGCAGCGGGTTGGAAAGGAAAGGACAGAAGTGAGGTTACTGACACCTGCACGCAGCGGGATGGAAAGGACAGGACAGAAGTGCGGTTACTGACACCTGCACGCAGCGGGATGGAAAGGAAAGGACAGAAGTGCGGTTACTGACACCTGCACGCAGCGGGATGGAAAGGAAAGGACAGAAGTGAGGTTACTGACACCTGCACGCAGCGGGATGGAAAGGAAAGGACAGAAGTGCGGTTACTGACACCTGCACGCAGCGGGATGGAAAGGAAAGGACAGAAGTGAGGTTACTGACACCTGCACGCAGCGGGATGGAAAGGAAAGGACAGAAGTGCGGTTACTGACACCTGCACGCAGCGGGATGGAAAGGAAAGGACAGAAGTGAGGTTACTGACACCTGCACGCAGCACAGTGGACTATGAGAGGATGGATGGTACACCCCCCAAGAAGTGAGGTTACTGACTTGCACACCCCGGATGACGAGAAGGTACTAACTGCCTCTGATTGAGAGAGGGATCTGACCTGCACGCCCCTGGGAATCGGCTGCAAGACTTGGAGGTCAACAGCGAGCAGGAGGGCGAGAATACTGACCTGCACACCCTTGATAAGAGAGGGTGCTGACCTGCACACCCTTGATAAGAGAGGGTACTGACCTGCACACCCTTGATAAGAGAGGATACTGACCTGCACACCCTTGATAAGAGAGGGTACTGACCTACACACCCTTGATAAGAGAGGATACTGACCTGCACACCCTTGATAAGAGATGGTACTGACCTGCACACCCTTGATAAGAGAGGGTACTGACCTGCACACCCTTGATAAGAGAGGGTACTGACCTGCACACCCTTGATAAGAGAGGGTGCTGACCTGCACACCCTTGATAAGAGATGGTACTGACCTGCACACCCTTGATAAGAGAGGGTACTGACCTGCACACCCTTGATAAGAGAGGGTACTGACCTGCACACCCTTGATAAGAGAGGATACTGACCTGCACACCCTTGATAAGAGATGGTACTGACCTGCACACCCTTGATAAGAGAGGGTACTGACCTGCACACCCTTGATAAGAGAGGGTGCTGACCTGCACACCCTTGATAAGAGAGGGTACTGACCTGCACACCCTTGATAAGAGAGGATACTGACCTGCACACCCTTGATAAGAGATGGTACTGACCTGCACACCCTTGATAAGAGAGGGTACTGACCTGCACACCCTTGATAAGAGAGGGTGCTGACCTGCACACCCTTGATAAGAGATGGTACTGACCTGCACACCCTTGATAAGAGAGGGCACTGATCTGCACACCCTTGATAAGAGAGGGTACTGACCTGCACACCCTTGGCAAAGAGAGAATACTGACCTGCACGCCTCTAGCAATGGGCTGCGAGACTTGAAGGTCAACGGCCAGCAGGAGGGCGAGGGTACTGATCAGCACAGCCTTGATAAAGAGAGTCTATTTACCTGCACGCCTCTAGCAATGGGCTGTTAGACTTGAAGGTCAACGGCCAGCAGGAGGGCGAGGGTACTGATCAGCCCAGCCTTGATAAAGAGAGTCTATTTACCTGCACGCCTCTAGCAATGGGCTGCGAGACTCGAAGGTCAACGGCCAGCAGGAGGGCGAGCGTCATGACATAGCCGTTCATTGCTGTGCCGCGCGCCAATGGCATGAAGTTGTACCTGGGGTGGATCAAGGTATGGCAGGGGAGCAAAGCAGCATCACACAGCGTTAGGGCCATTCACAGATGTTCGAATTGACCCACCATTAGAGAGCACATGGTGAGAGATTTCAGCGTATGTCACTCTTTCAGCGTACGCAACTTTGAACCACAGCGTGATTCTTTTGAGGCGCCTCGAAGGTCATATGACCGACCAGTAGTATGATGCCATGATGGGCACTGGCCAGCCAGCCATGCACTGATTGGCATGGCTGAGCATAGGCGCCACAAGACGAGTCAAGGCGATCTGCTTGGTGAGGTGCTGTCAGTAACGGACAGGTGGGCTGCGGAGGTCTTCTTTCCATCAACTTGAATGGTTCTTAGAACGACGGAACAAACCCCATGGAATGAATGAAAAGGAGGAGCCTGGTTACCTGTGAGCTAGAACGTTTTCTTAGAGAGCCAGCTTGAACAAATCTTCAGCTTAAAATCAGAACTTGCGTTTACCTAGTATGAAGATGGGCACTGGCCAGCCAGCCATGCACTGATTGGCATGACTGAGCATAGGCGCCACAAGACGAGTCAAGGCGACCTGCTTGGTGTGAGTCAACGAGTACTAAGCCATGCCTGTGTGCTCACCAGTAGTAAGCCGTGTTTTGAGTCGACTCAAAACACGACACAAGACGAGTCAAGGCGACCTGCATGGTGTGAGTCAACGAGTACTAAGCCATGCCTGTGTGCTCACCAGTAGTAAGCCGTGTTTTGAGTCGACTCAAAACACGCCACAAGACGAGTCAAGGCGACCTGCATGGTGTGAGTTAATGAGTACTAAGCCATGTCTGTGTGCTCACCAGTAGTAGGCCATTCTGAGGATGTTGACTTGAATGGCCTTGCAATAGGCTTGAAACAGATTTTGAGCAGTCTAGAAAAACCAGAAAGTGGCTATAGCTGAGTCATACTCACCAGTAGTAGGCCATTCTGAGGATATTGTCTTGAATGGCCTTGCGGTAGGCCTGAGGGTCTGAGTCACGGAGAGACGTGTGGGCCACTGCTAGAGAAATGTCCTGCGAGGCGGAGAGGAAACGAGGGGGGAGGGGAGGTGATGAGATAGAGACGAGATTGCAGGCAGTGAAAGGTTGAGACTGCGGGTCCGAGTCACGGAGATCGTTTTTGAGGCGCCTCAAAAACGACCTCGATGAGATAGAGACGAGATTGCAGGCAGTGAAAGGTTGAGACTGCGGGTCCGAGTCACGGAGAGGCGTGTGCGCCATTGCTAGTGAGATGTCCTGCAGCGCACAAGGGAGATTAAGATAGGAGATCGAGGTGGGAAAAAGAGAGTATTGTTGGCAATGAAAGGCCATGACACGTCATGAAATGACACGCCACGCCATGCCATGCCATGCCATGCCATGCCACCCCACCTTCCACGCAGCAGCCATCTCCAGGTCAAAGTCCCTCCACCGGCTGGGCGTCAGCTCAATGCCACGCACAATATTACCATGCCACACCCATACACCATCGGCACCTTAGCGCCATACACACATCATCAGCGCCATGCCATCCGCCTTCCACGCTGCAGCCCTTTCCAGGTCAAAGTGCCTCCACCGGCTGGGCGTCAGCTCAATGCCAAACTTGCAAAGCATGACACCACACACCATGCAGCATGCACCATGCAGCATGCACCATGCAAGCACCACCATCCCACCTTCCGTGCAGCAGCAATCTCCACCGGCTGGGCGTCCACTTGTTACCAAACACGAAACTTCCATCCCACACACACACACCATCAGCACCATAGCACCTCACACACACCATCAGCACCATAGCACCTCACACACATCATCTGCACCATCCCACCTTCCACGCTGCAGCCATTTCCATGTCAAAGTCTCGCCACCGGCTGGGCGTCAGCGGCGTGCGAATCGCAAACTCCTGCCCGGGGTCGCTGTGAAAAAGGAGGGGGATCGGGGGGGGAAGGGAGGGGTTGGGAAGGAAGAGATGGAGAGTGAGAGAGAGTGAGCACGGCATCACTGTGAGTAATGTGAATTGCTAACTCATGCCCGGGATCGCTGTGATAGAGAAGGGAGGTAGGCGAACTGGAGTGGTGCTTGCATCGCATGGTGGCATTGATTGCTGCTACTTGTGAGGCAGCGAGCGGCAAGCAGCAAGCCGCGAGCATATATATAACCCATATATATAGATAGATAGATAGAATGTTTCGTGCGTACGTGCGTGCATATGTGTCTGTGCCGTGTGTGTTTGTGCGCGTGCCGCACTCACACGTGCGTTTGTGTGTGTGCGCGCGCGCAGACGTGCGTGCGTGCATGTGTGTGCGTGTGTGTGTGTGTGTGTGTGTGTGTGTGTGTGTGTGTGTGTGTGTGTGTGTGCGTTGTGTGTGTGTGTGTGTGTGTGCATGTGTGTGTGTGTGTGCATGTGTGTGCGCGCGCGCGTGCATGTATTGGAAGGCACTGATGACTCACGTGGCGGTGATTGTGAGGCGAGTGCCGTTCAGCACCTTTTGAGCCGTCATTGCATGTGAGTGTGGGTGCACGGTGCGCGCACGCTAGTGCATCTGTGCATGCAAGCATGTGGCAGAGGGCCCTGATGATGACTCACGTGGCGGTGATTGTGAGGCGAGTGCCGTTCAGCACCTTTTGAGCCGTCATTGCATGTGAGTGTGGGTGCACGGTGCGCGCACGCTAGTGCATCTGTGCATGCAAGCATGTGGCTGAGGGCCCTGATGATGACTCACGTGGCGGTGATTGTGAGGCGAGTGCCGTTCAGCACCTTTTGAGCCGTCATTGCATGTGAGTGTGGGTGCACGGTGCGCGCACGCTAGTGCATCTGTGCATGCAAGCATGTGGCAGAGGGCCCTGATGTTGACTCACGTGGCGGTGATTGTGAGGCGAGTGCCGTTCAGCACCTTTTGAGCCGTCATTGCATGTGAGTGTGGGTGCACGGTGCGCGCACGCTAGTGCATCTGTGCATGCAAGCATGTGGCTGAGGGCCCTGATGATGACTCACGTGGCGGTGATTGTGAGGCGAGTGCCGTTCAGCACCTTTTGAGCCGTCATTGCATGTGAGTGTGGGTGCACGGTGCGCGCACGCTAGTGCATCTGTGCATGCAAGCATGTGGCTGAGGGCCCTGATGATGACTCACGTGGCGGTGATTGTGAGGCGAGTGCCGTTCAGCACCTTTTGAGCCGTCATTGCATGTGAGTGTGGGTGCACGGTGCGCGCACGCTAGTGCATCTGTGCATGCAAGCATGTGGCTGAGGGCCCTGATGATGACTCACGTGGCGGTGATTGTGAGGCGAGTGCCGTTCAGCACCTTGCTGTTGGGGCAATGGCCAGGGGGGAGGGGGTGGGAGGAGGAGAGAGGTGAGAGGAAGGAGAGGGAAGGAGGGTCAGCCCAACACAGAAGGAGGAGACAGAGGGAGAGAGGCATGAAGGTGTGATTTGGGGAAAGGCAGGGCTTACTTGGGGAAAGGCAGGGCTTACTTGGAGAAGGCAGGGCTTACTTGGGGAAGGCAGGGCTTACTTGGGGAAGGCAGGGCTTACTCAGGGAAGGCGGTGCTCTTGCACGGGGTGAAGACGAAGAATCCTTTCTGCACGACGTCCCACAGCTGGTTAAAATTGGTTGCCTGGTCCACCTGACGTGGCAGGAGGGACGGGGATGGAAGACATGTGTCACGTCAAGGGTCATTCTGATTGATAGGTTGATGGCCATCAATCGATTTCAGTCAATTTCAATCGATTTCAACACAATTTCAGTCAATTTCAATAGATATCGATCGATTCCGATCCATTTCGATCCATTTCGATCGATTTCAGTCAATTTCAATCAATTTCAACCGATTTCAACCAATTTCAATCAATTTCAATCAATTTCAGTCAATTTCAACCAATTTCAGCCATTAAGGAGATGCTTGCATCTTGTCACATGAAAGGAGGGAGGAGAGGGTGGAAAAACGAAACAGGTGCAGACGTATGCTTTGAGTTGACTCAACATGAACTGCGAAAGATGCGGTGGTTGGAAGGCACATGTGATGTGATGCGCACAACTACTCACCTTCTCGAGAGAGCCTCTTGACTGAGCGGAATCTCGTCGCCGCTGGCCGTACACCTTGATTATCCTGAGACATCTCAGAACACAGCAAAGAACTTACACCTACCCACCCACCCACCCACACGACATCCCCCCCCCTCACACACATACGTGCACTCACCTTCTCCAGAGCCTCTTGACTGAGGGGAATCTCCTCGCCGCTGGCCGTACACCTTGCGTATCTTGATTCGACTCAAATCAATGCACACACACGACCCCCCCCCCCCTCCTCCCCCCCAACACACTCAAGCACCACACACCTTTTTCAGATCCGCTTGGCTGAGCGGGATCTCCTCGTCGCGCTCGCCGTACACCTTGCCGTGATGCAGCATCTCCTGCCGTACGATCTTGAACGCACTGGTGGGTGGGTTGAGAGGAAGGGCGGTGAGGGAATTAAAAGGAAGACCTCTTCATGCACCTTGCCGTGATGTAGCATCGCCTGCCGTACGATCTTGAACGTACTGCTGGTGATATAAGACGGATTCGAGATTGAAAGGAGGGTGAACAGCCGACCTCGATCCATAACACCACTCATCACATCATGAGCTAAACGCCTAAAGAAAATGATTTGGTCAGGTGATAACGGATCTCACCGGTCAGCATTCATGGAGTAGCGAATGTTTCGAGTCTGCCCGGACACCATCGGCGTGACCGAACCAAACCCGGTTTCGAATGCTTCCCGCCTGCCAAAGCAGGGACGGAAAAAGAGTGAGTCGGAGTAAGGAAGGAGGAAAATCCGAGCCAGTTACGAGAGCGAGTGTAGACGTCTGAGCTGAACATTGGAACTGATTTTGAAGAGATTAAAGAATGAGTGAGTGGATGCCACTTTTGAGAACCTAGAAAAAGTGAGCGGGTGCCATGTCTTGTGCATTTGAGCAAGCGGGCATCCCAGAGTGGAAAGAAGAGCTGGTGGAGGAGACTGACCGAGAATGGTAACAGCAGTTGTGGTTGTGGATATGGAATAGCTCAAACCAGTGCCAGACAGTTGTGATTACAACGTAACCAATTCAGAGCCCCACGTGCAACTCACGTGAGGCCGTCGATCCACACGATGGGGTCGTGGTTACCAGGTAACACATCAAATCAAAGAGCCCCACGTGCAACTCACGTGAGGCCGTCGATCCACACGATGGGGTCGTGGTTACCAGGTAACACATCAAATCAAAGAGCCCCACGTGCAACTCACGTGAGGCCGTCGATCCACACGATGGGGTCGTGGTTACCAGGTAACACATCAAATCAAAGAGCCCCACGTGCAACTCACGTGAGGCCGTCGATCCACACGATGGGGTCGTGGTTACCAGGTAACACATCAAATCAAAGAGCCCCACGTGCAACTCACGTGAGGCCGTCGATCCACACGATGGGGTCGTTAGGTTCGGCAATCTGGCGCCATCTCACTCCCATGCCGTACACGTCCCTCCACCCCACCCCCACCCCCTCCTCCACCTCCTCCGCACTGCTGCTTCTGTCCACCTGCCCGCTCTTCATCCAATCCCTCCACGCCTTTCGCACTGTCTGCATGATGTCCAGAGCAGCCAGCCCTGCTGCTCGTTGCTGGGGAGTGGGAGAGAAAGAGGGTAGGGTGGGTGGATTCTTGAGACATTGCCAGACGTTGCAACGCACGAAGCCCCTCCCCATCCCCTCGCCACGCCTTCCTCACGCCGCTCACTGTCTAACGCCAGTCAGGCCTGCTGCTCGTTGCTGCACAGAGCGGGAGGAGGGTGGATGGCGAAAGAGCGAAGGATGGGACGGAGAGAAAGGAAAGGAGATGGGAAGGGTGATGGAGCCTCGAGGTGTTGCACTGAACCAGCCGCCCAATCGCATCAGCCTGCAGCAACAGCATGTCACCGAATAGATTATTGTTTGCAATATATTCTGTTACTTGCTAGTGTAGGTGTAGTAGGGTTAATCGAAGTACTGTAGAAGGTGAGTTTGGTGCGTGGGTAGTGACGCGAAGTGGTGACCAAGGGACTTGCGAGGCGCAGGGTGGGACAAATTCAAGGGCGAGCCCTGGGCAATCCGAAGGGCCAATCTGAAGCCTAGCGGGCGGAGCCCAATGTGACTTACGGGAAACTGCATGGCACGGGGTAGAGACTCAAATAGGCTAGGAACTCACTGCTTAGTTCGTTCTCTTGTTTGTTTGCTCGTAATAGTGGATATAGGTTGCCGTTTGATAGCTAACTCCAGCTTAGGCGACTAAGCCACTGTGGGCAGCCATACGTGGGGGAGGCAGAATCTCTCACAAACAAGAGAACCAAGATCGGGCAGAATGGACTGCCATGAGCTGCAGTGGCAGCAGACGTACTCGCGTTGGGAGTTACCACCGCCGCGAAGGATGCGCTCAAAGGAGCAGGGAAGATCGCCAGGTCGCTCGCCTAGGAGAGAGGCAGATCGGGTGGATCGGATGGCAACCAGCGACGGACGGCGCGGCGAAGGCGAGCTCGGTCTGCAGACGAGATCGGCCGTCGAGGAATCTGGCAAGAGGCCAGCGGGGCGCAGGAGTAAGGCGTCAGGAGGATGCCGACGAGACGGACTCGCTGATGTCGGCAAACGAGGCCGACGGCGAGGAGACGGCGGAAGATGATCCAAGGAACGCGGGAGAAGATCGCTCGCCGGACGACATGCGCGAGGGAGGCGAGATGCACCGCGGAGAGAAACGCGAAGAGTGCGGAAAGGCGACGGGATCGAGTCGCTCGACAGACGAAGTGCGCGGGAATGGCGCGAGGCGCTGCGGGAGCGCAGATGCAGACGGATCAGACGGTGAAATGCGCGGGAATGGCGCGAGGCGCTGCGGGAGCGCAGATGCAGACGGATCGGACGGTGAATTGCGCGGGAATGGCGCGAGGCGCTGCGGGAGCGCAGATGCAGACGGATCGGACGGTGAAATGCGCGGGATTGGCGCGAGGCGCCGCGGGGAAGCGGATGCGGAGCGTTCTGCTGACGAAAGGCACATTATTGGCGCGAGGCGCCAGGGGAGCAGCGCGGATGCAGATCGCGCGCCAGGGGAGGTGCGCGGGAGTGGCGCGAGGCACCGCAAGAGCAAGGAGAATGACCGCGCGACAGGGCGCATGCGTGGGGAAGACGGATCGCCGGAGCCACAGCCAGAAACTGAGAGGAGGAGGCGTATGGTGATGGGAGCTCGGCGATCGCCAGAGCCGTGGGACGAAGAAAAGGAGAAGCTGAAATGGAGAGAGGAGGAGCAATACAGAAGGGGTGAGAGGTCGCCTGAAGGGAGGACAGAAGGGGTAAGGGGGGAACATGAGCATGGGCTGGATTGGTGCCACCGGGGTAAGAAGGAGAAGGGATCAAACTTTGAAGGAAGAGAGGGGTACAGGGGAAGGCAAGAAGGGCGTCGGAAACCTGGTGCAGGAGTAAGGGAGAAGCAGGACCTAAGCGGAAAGAGGAAGAGAGGTGACAAGCAGCACATGCGACGGGAGGAGATGCACGAGTATGAAGCAGAGAGCGGGGAAGAGGAAGAGAGTGATAGGCGGGCACGCCATGGAGCGGGACAAAGGGAAGAATGCTGGGAAGAATATTTCACTGGAAGGAGAGAGGGGCAGAGGAGAAGGCAGGAAGAACGGAGAGAGTTTCCTGAGAGAGAGGACCGGCAGCAGCGGGAAAGGAGGAAGCGAGAAAGGCAATTTCAGGAATATTCGCCTGAGAGGAGGGAAAGGCGATGGGGGGAAGCAGGCGGGGAAAGAGAGGCTTACGAGGAGGAGCGGAGAAGGAGTCCGAGTCCGAGAGGCCTTAGGAGGCCACGGCTGGCAGGAAAAGGATCCAGCGAAGCCAGAGTTGCTAGAGAAGGAATATACAGGGTCTTGTATGGAACAAGCACAGGCAGCAGGGGAATGAGGGAGCACAGAGGAGAAGTCAGCCGCGCAGAGCGAGGAGCAACGGGAACCTGGGACTCAGGGAGATGGGGCACGCGGGCGCCACCACAAGTAGAGGTGCCTGTGCGCTTCACGGGGAATGGAGGGACAAGCACTACCCGGAAGAATTATCTGATGCAGATTGGGAATGTCAAGTACAGGTGTGATCGGAGTGGGATGGACCCCATCGACTTCTTTTTGAAGCCCAGGAGGAGTCGCTGAAGCCAGAGAGAAGGGGAGGGGAGGATCCACCCAATGTGAGGGCGTGATCCTTGGTGCCACGGAGATAGCGGAGGACCTGCTTGGCGGCAGCCCAGTGGTCCTCAGTGTGGCGGCCGGAGCCGACGAACCGAGCAAGGACGCTGATGGGGTAGGCGAGGTCGGGACGAGTGCACATCATCGCGTACATCAGCGACCCAACAAGCTCGGCATAGGGCCGGGAGGAGGTGGAGGGGGAGGTGGGTGGCGCAAGCTGGTGACCGAAGGGGAGGGGGGTGGAGACCGGTTTGGCCTGCGCCATCTCGAACTTCTCCAGGACCTGGCCGATGTAGTGGGACTGGGAGAGGGTGATGGTGCGGGCGGATCGATCACGAGTGATAGCCATGCCGAGGTAGTTCTGCAGCGGACCAAGGTCCTTGCACTTGAGACGTTCCTGAAGTGACCGCTTTACTTGCTCCATGTCGGCCTTGGTGTCAGCGAGCAGGATCATGTCGTCAACATAGACCGAGATGAAGAAGCGACGGGGGAAAAGCAGATGAAGAGGCTGGCATCGGAGTGGGAGGCGGAGAAACCAAGGGACTGGAGAGTGGCAGACAGCTTCGCATGCCATTCTCGTGGTGCCTGTTTCAGGCCGTAAACAGGTCGCCGAAGTTGCCAGATGGTGTTGTCAGGGAAAGCAGCATGAAACCCGGGAGGCCGGCGGAGGAAGATACGCTCGTGCAGTTCGCCTTGCAGGAACGCGTTGGAGACGTCCATGGAGTCAATCTCCATGTCGTCACGCGCACCAATATCCATAAGGGTGCGTAGGGTGGCCTGCTTGACAGTGGGGGCAAATGTGAACCAGTAGTCTTCAGCCCAGGTCTGGGTGAACCCCTTGGCAACGTAGCGGGCTTTGTAGACTGGTTCTTCTCCCGGCAGCTGCTTGACTCGAAAGATCCACTTGCCCTCGACAAGGTTGGCGTCAGGGGGGAGGGGAACGTCGATGAAGGAGTCGTTGCGGATAAATGCCTCACATTCCAGGAAGATGGCGGCTATCCACTTGTCAGCGTCAGGGCAGGTGATAGCCTCCTGGAAGGTGGAGGGGACGAAGATGGTGGGAGCGGAGATCGCGCTAAGGATTAGAGCGCCGAGGAGGCCAAGGTAGAGCGTGGTGAGAGAGGGAGTGTGGCGCTGGACCATGGCGAACTCCTCATGGGAATCCTCGAGCTGGTTGAGGGAGGGAGGTGGCGGTGTGCCAAGGATGGGATCAAGGGAGCGGGTGTGCATGCGAGGGAGGAGGAAGGGTGAGGAGCGGGCAATTGCCCTCTGCCGCTGCTGCTGCTGGTGCTGCTGGAACCCCTGCTGCTGCTGCGGCTGCTGCTCCTCCCGATGCTGCTGCCCCTGCTGCTGCTGCTGCCCCTGCTGCTGCTGCTGCTGCTGCTGCTGCTGCTGCTGCTGCTGCCGCTGCCGCTGCTGCTGCTGCTGCTGCTGCTGCTGCTGCTGCTGCTGCTGCTGCTGCTGCTGCTGCTGCTGCTGCTGCTGCTGCTGCTGCTGCTGCTGCTGCTGCTGCTGTTGCTGCTGTTGCTGCTGCTGCTGTTGGGACGGAAGAGAAGGAGAGGGGGGAGGGGAGGAGGGAGGGGGGGCCACGGAGTGTGCAGGGGATGCAGGAGCAGTGGGATCGTAGATGTCGGCAGATGAAGGTGGCGGAAGCGGAGTAGGGAGAGGTGGGAGAAGGGGTGCAGGGGGGGAGGAGGGGAGGGAGCACAGTGTCGGTCCAGGTGAGAGGACGTGTAGGAAGAGGGAGGGGGTCTGGTGGTGAAGAGGAGTAATAGGGGGTGGTTTCGTCAAAGACGACGTCAATGCTGCGGATAAGGCGTCCAGAGGGAGGGTGAAGGAAGAGGTAGCCAGGCGAGTCGCGGTTGTGCCCGAGGTAGACACACTCGAGGGCGCGAGAAGCGAGCTTGCCGTGGGTGCGATCGGGTGGAGGGATAAGTACATATGCCTTGCAACCCCAGACACGGAGACCAGCAGCGTCAGGTTTGGTGCCTGACCAGAGTTCCGTGGGGGTGGTGGTAGTATGTTGAGGATGGGAGTGAAGGTTGAGGAGGAGGGCAGCATGGAGCAGAGCATAGCCCCAAAGGGAAGGAGGGGTGGAGGCGTGAGCGAGGAGACAGCGAGCAATCTTGGTGATTTCGCGAATCCTGCTTTCTGCGACACCATTCTGCTGCGGGGAGTGGGGAAGGGTGTGAGTCTGTTGGATGCCATGGGTGGTGCAGTAGTGGGAGAGAGTGCGATTGAGGAATTCGCCTCCCCCATCAGAGTGTAGGCGGCCGACGGGACGCTTGAAGTGGGCGCGGCATTGCTCTGCCCAGTTGATGATCATGGTCGGCGCCTGGTCTTTCGTGTGGAGGAGGAAAATGGAGGAGTAGCGGCTGTGGTCGTCTACTAGGACCAGCATGTAGCGATGGCCCTGACGGGAACGAGTGG